CCAAAATTTTGTTTGATCGAAGAAATGAGTGGCTGGTGAAAGCATTATGAGTTTGGTGGGCATGGAAGATTTGAGAGGTTTTTTTTCCTTAGTTAGGAATTTTTGAGAAGCAGCAAGATTTGAGGTTTTTTTTTCCTCAGTTAAGAAGTTTTGAGAAGCAGCAAGATTTGAGGGTATTTTTTTCCTTTAGTTAGGCAGTTTTGAGGGTTTTTTTCCTTAGTTAGGAAGTTTTCAAAAGTTTGTTTTTGTATTGGTTTCATTATTGTTGGAACTCAGAGGTTAAACTTGATTTGTATAAAGCTTCCTCATATGTAATTCCGGAAACTTGTACATATCTCATTTCTTGAATTGAATTGAGATTTATGAGTTGAACAAATCCCATGTGTACATACCAAGTTATTTTTGACTGTTAATCTAAGTTGAAGAGAAACATTTGATTTTTTTTTTTTAAGAAAAATCCAAATTTGAAATTCGAATTTTGAAATTCGAAATTTGAATCTCAAAATCCATCAGATCAATCATCAACAGCAAAAAACTCTTATCATCTTTCAAAAAAACAAATCTACTCCAATCAAAATCAACTAAATCACAACCAACTTGAATCAAAAATCAAAATCAAATCAAAATCAAATCAAATCTAACCTTCTTAAAAAACCAAATCAACTTAGATCACTGATTCAAATCAAAATCTAATCAAAATCTAATCAAAATCAACTTGGATCAACTCAACTTGTCATCATCCTTTTCAAAATCAAATCAAATCAATCAACAAGAACTCCTATCAACCTGTTTTAAATCAAGTCTAATGAAAACAAATCAACTTATCAACATCATCATCTATTAGATCTAGTCAACTTATCATCAACTATAAGATCAAAGCAAACTATTAAATCTAATCATCTTATCATCATCAGCTAAATCAAATCAACTTGTCATTGTCAGTTAGATCTAATCTCCTTATCATCATCAATTAGATCTAATCAACTTATCATCATCAACTTATCATCATCTA